TAGCGTATTCTGCATAATGCTACTCAAGATAGGCATGAGGCAGCGACGGGGGTGGGGGCTTAAGCCCCCCTACCGCTACCGGGCCAGTGCATTTACAGGAGGAACTAGTTGTCACTGAAGAACAATAATGGCTATGCAAATGGAATGTTGGAATGTCAAGCAACAAAATAGTGTATTGGGGAGATGAGAGTTGGGGTTACTACCTTTGTATCAGAACAAGTCAGCATTGCTAGATTTATAAAAATGCAAAGCAGTTTATTGCAAAGATGTTCAAATATAACAATGATACTTAAGAGCACTCTGATATGATCTTCATAAAGAAGATTCTAATGTCCTAGTGTCATGTAATTTTTTACTCATGATGATGAAAGAAAAAAATTTCCATCCACCATATGATCTAAAATAGTGCTAGATCCCCTATTTCCCTTTGTTGGGTTCCTGCTTGTGCCGCCTCTCTTGAGGTATCGCGCGCTCCAGGCCACATGGTGGTATGGGCGCCCACAGTGGCGAGCGACGGAGTTGGTACGGCGAGAGTTGGCAACGCGAGTGGCGCTTGGGCAGAGCCAGGAGCGGCACGCAGCCACGGCGGCAACCCGTCCAAGTTCGCCTCGGTGTCAGCGACGTCGACAAGAGCAGGGCAGAAGCCGGGCCACATGTCGGCGCGGACGGAAGAGCCGGAGGGCGATTGAGAGGATTGAGAGGAGCGCGCACACGAAAACCGGGTTGGACAAAACCCCTCCGTATTTTTTATGTGTAACAGATTTACTTGTTTCCTTTTGCCATTATTTACATCTTCAATTCCACCGTGGATTCCACCGAATTACGCAACTGTTAGAAATTTAGGTGTTTTCATATTTAATTTAAATACAAAAGAACCATAGCAAATTTGTGATGACATATATGTGTGAGATATTACCACTAGCAACAGTAGCAATAACATACATGATAAACATACTAACCATAGCAGATATTATACTGAACTGAGCACAATAAATAAGAGATGTATACCCTGTGGAAGGACCCATGTTGAAGGCACTGGTGGCTCCATGCTGCGCACTAGTCGACAAGTGCGTTGCTCAATGTCACGGATCACAGTCAGTCGATGCAGGACGATGTTTGCTGCAGTGCAGTCCCTCGAACCTCCACCAGGATCAGAAGAAGACGGAGTCGTCGATCGGATCGGTAACAAGCAGTCGCGTTAGATGCTCCCCAAAAACCTGATCGCCTGGCACGCCCCGAGCAGGTGTGGCACTGATGCGGGCGTGGTTCCGGGCAGAGGATCGGAACGGGTGAAACTTGAGAGCAACTCAAGAGAAGAACGATGGTGCAAGATGTACTACATCTCGTTTATCACGCTGCTGAAGGTAAATGCTCCTTATAAACGTGGGAAGGTGGAAGATGAAGGGTAGAGGATGAACATGTACGACACGAAGCGTCCATCAATCACAAGTAATGACTGTCATAAACATGGGGGTTACTAGTAGCTATGCCACAGCCATGGGAGTTACTAATAACCGCAACCATAACTACGTCCGTTACATGTTTAGCCACCAATCATATTTAGTTCACCATATTTTATTGCACCAAATATTTAATATGGTCTTAGAATTTATTTAGTTTAATTAAAATAAATATGGGCATGCCCACATCAAGTCTAACAACTTTTATGATTGTAGGAATTAAAGAGGCAGCCAAATTTGGGAGAGAGCCAAGGACGAAAATTTGGGAGAGGGAAATTTTCGAACGTTGCCTGTTCGGGAGACCGTAAACGATCGTGGATTATTTACTGCTGGTTGGTTTGGTGTGAGAGAAAAACACTATTCTCGGCTGAAAATTTACGATCATTTACGAGCAAGCGAACAGGCGGGATGTAGGATGAAATATACGTCCATTCTTGCATATTAATTGCTACCATCCGCATTCTAGAAGCTCACCTCTGCCTTTCTTTTCCCACAACCATGGCGTCAAACGTGATAGACTAACATAATCATATCTCGGCCTCGCCGTCGTCATCACATCGGATCCAACAAGATGTCCGGCTCCGGCCGTTGTCACCGCACGATACACACACGCAGCTAGCGAGCGCGAGCCGGACGCCGTACTTTTGGTTTTTGCCCAAACGCCAAGCCACCACCGGAATTCACCTGTCAACCGCGCGCGCTCAGTCTCACCCCGCCTCCTGACGACCGTCGGCACGCCGTACTACGAGCAAGCGCGACGGGACGTGGCCAGCCGAGCTGATGGAACCGTGCATGGGAAGCTCAGCTGGCTGGCTCCCGGCCCGGCGGCAGGCCGGCAGTCGCCCTGTTGCCGCGTCGTTGCGGGCGGCCGGGCGGTGGCTCGTCGCCGGTGAGTCATCATTGCGTCTGCCTTCGTCTGCGCCGTGCGCGCGTGCTCACGGTCACAGGCACGGAGTCGATCATGGACGCGGACGAGGACGAGCATGAGCAGCATGAGGTAGCTGGGAATCTGGGGCGCAGTCGGCCAGTCGTGCAGATGCGGTAGCTGGCCCGTGTCAGTCCGGTCGACAGTAGGCCGCGGCAGAAATATTCTACGGAACAGGGTGGCAGATAGAGATGGGCGAAAGAAAGCGACGGATCCGTGGATGGACGTGGATGCGGGCGGCGGCATATATCGCTGGCGAGATCGATGTCGACAAATAAAGGATGCTGCGTACTAGTAAGCCCTCGTTTGAATCCGGCGTGTAAAGTTTGGTATGCTACGTGCCATGTTGTATGGGGTGTTTAAATATTAATAAAAAAATTACAGAATTTATCAGTGAATCACGAGATGAATTTATTAAACCTAATTAATCTATCATTAACACATTGTTACTGTAGTACTTTATTATTAAATTATGACCTACTTAGGCTAAAAAGTTTATCTCGTAAATTAGTCATAAACTATATAATTAATTATTTTTAATCTATATTTAATACTCCATGTATCAAACATTCTACGTGGTATGATATAAAGTTTTGGCAAGGGCTAAGAACCTGTTTGGTACGGCTCCAAGAGGCTTCGGCTCCTACACTGTTCACGCACTGTAGCGTGTCAGAACCGGAGCCGGAGGAGCCAGGAACTGGAGCTTCACTGGCTCCGTGAACAGTAACCGCGCTACAGTAAGAGGAAAAAGGTGGGAGGTGAAAAACAGCTCCGCTGCTACAGTGTACTACCGTGTTCGCCGTAGGGTGTCAGCCGGAGCCGGAGCTACCGGAGCCCGGCCAAACAAGTCCTAAGTGTGTGGAGTGGAGTGTGTACTGGGGGCCCGCCCGGTTTATAGATAGATGCCCCCGAGATGTGTGCGCCAGTGCTTCGGACATGCTGCTAATTCCATTCCATACAAGTAGGTCTGTCTACTTTAGGGGTCGGGTGTTTCAGGAAGTCCTGACACCCGAGTGCCAAGCGGCTAAAAAATGCTCGAATTTGGTTCGGCGTCGGATTTGAATATTTTAAGGCCACAAATCACACAGATAAAAATCCACATGATCAAAATTAATATAAACAGATAGAACATATAAAATAAAAAAATCCAAATTATTTCTATGGAAGACAAATTGAAAGATTGCAAAGGGAAACGATTAAACCATACAGATAAAAATTATTAAACAAACAAAAAATTAGCCAGATCATTATTATGGAAGCCAAATTGAAAAATTCTAAAGGAAAACTAAATAAAACATACAGAAAATCAAAAAAACAAAACAGGCTGAGGGCCACGACCCCTATCGTTGGGGTTGGGGCTCTCTGCAATTGCCACTGCTATGCGGAGCTGTCTCGTTGGTGCGGCGTGGCACAGGGATGGTGCCTGATCGGACCATGGTGACTGCTGTCACCTCGGTCCTTGCGAGGTCAGTGTGGTGTGCCTGCTCTTGTCAGAGCAAGCATAATGAGCCACCGCTCGCTCTCTCTCCGTCCTGCCCAGGTGTCGTGACGGGGGAGAGGTCGAGCGTCTTCCGTGTGGTTAGGGCTGGAGAAAGGGTCGCGGCCGACCCTGGCCTAGGCGTTGGCCTGGCGTGCTCGTCCTAGCTGGGCCTTGGTCGTTCGGGCCATTGTTAACCCGATAAGTTGCAGGCCACGTGGCCTGCCAACTAATCGGCGCCTTGAGACACCCAGGGGTCATAACCGCGACACTATGTGTCTAGGGCAAAATCCTGGCCTTCTATAGCGATGCAGTTCTTTTTCCGATCCCACCAAGTTCCACTCCGACGATCCCGGCCACGTGTGCGACTGGCAGGACGCATCCATGGCTAGATTGGATCCCCAAGGCACGCCCCATCCGCAAGCGACGGAGGAACCTGCTAGCCCATGTGCCCCCTTGCCACCTGTCATTGCAGGTCCGATTGAAGCACAGGAAGCCCGCTAATATAGGAACCTAAAAAAAATTTCAAAATTAAATATAGACCATTGTGATGGTTTAACGAAATTAGAAATTATTTTCACTAAAGTCCTACAAAAATATCTGGTGTGAAGCTAACCTTCACAGGAGAGGCGAGCCCACCGCCTGCGGCGCGCCAGTCTGGGGCGGCTGGCGTCGGCGGAGTCCAGACGCTGGGAGGGGGGGGGGGGGGGGCGATGCTTTCAGGCAAAGGGGAAGTAGCAGTTTGCTCCCAACCCACGGACCGGCCGGCCTGCCGATGCCACCACCGTACGTCGGCTACTCCAGACTGGGGAAGGGGTGCATACCGTACATGTTTTCATTGACATCTCTCCTACTTCATGGTCAATTTAAAATTTCAAATGAAAAGGTGCCAAATTTGACATCTCTCCTAATGAATTGTGAATATTGAAATCACAAAGCGCCACATATATAAAAGTGGTAGCCTTCTTATCTTATTATTATCACAACCACACGAATTTACCTATCTATACTCTACTAATAAACTACTACCAAAGAGCAGGACTGCAGTCTGCATTGGATTCAGTCTACATTTTGGGATCCATTGCATTTTACATACATCGAGCGGCATGTGAGTATAGGGAAGAGCAGAGCCAAAGTTTTACAAGACAACAAGACCAAGGACACGACATGCACAAGGGCCAAAATAAATGGCGGGCCCGGCCCTAGCTGGTGGATGAGGTGGATCGCTAGGCGTCAATCGCGTCAGCATCAACATCACCCTAGTCCTCCTCTTGTCCACCTGTCGTCGTCCACCCCTCCACCACCTCGGCCAGCGCGGCGGCGGCGGCGCCCCCGTCGCGGAGGCCCTCGGCGGCGGCCTTTTGCAGCTCGGCCACCTTGGCCCCTGACCGCGGCGCCCTTCCCTTCGCCCTGCATCACCTCCCCCGCACCGTGGCCGCGATCTTCTCCTGCCCTTTGACTCGGGCACCCGGAGCGCGGCGCCGACGCCGTCGGAGAGCATCACGGCGTTCTGCTTCTGTTCCGCGTAGAGCGGCCACGCCACCATGGGCACGCCGTAGACGAGGCTCTCCAGCACGGAGTTCCAGCCGCAGTGGGTGAGGAACCCGCCGGTGGCCGCGTGAGCCAGCACCTTGGTCTGCGGCGCCCAGGACGGGACCACCAGCCCCACGCCGCTGGCGGTGATTCGATCCACGAAGCCCTCCGGGAGGTAGGCGAAGGGGTCCTTCTTGCTCTCGGCGTCGTAGTAGTTGTCGTTGACGGCGCCCTCGTAGCTGGGGCTCCGCACCACCCACAGGAACCGCTGCCCGCTGAGCTCCAGCCCCAGCGCCAGCTCCCGCATCTGCTCCGTCGGCAGCGCGCCGCCGGACCCGAACGACACGAAGATCACCGACCTCGCCGGCTGCCGGTCAAGCCACTCCAGGCATAGCGCGTCCTTATCGTCCCTGCGTCCGACGGCGTGGATGAGCGGGCCGATCGGGTACACCGCGGGGCGGTGGTCCGCCGGCTGGCGCAGGATCTTGGCGGGACCCGGCTCGACGGCGTCGAAGGAGTTGACGAGGATGGCGTCCGCGTCCCGGTACTTTTCGCCGTGGTGCACCATCCAGCGGTAGCAGGGGTCGGACTTGTCCTGTAGCGGCATCAGGATGTCGGGCCCCGGGATGGGCACGCACCCGGGCAGGCGCAGCGGCTCGGGGAGGTCGCGGAACTCGCACCGCACCGAGGCGTCGAGCTCCGGGAGGTGGAGGATGAGCGTGAGCGCGTGGAGGTTGGAGGGGAAGAAGATGCACCGCCGCCGCACCCCGGCCGCGCGCGCCGCGTCCAGGGAGTCGGCGCCGAACAGGTCCGCCACGAACGCCGCCAGGCGTCCGCCCGTGCTCCGCTTGAGGTCGAGGAGGATGCTCGTCAGCGCCGGCACGGAGCGCGCGCACTCCTCGGACATGAGCGTCTCGATGGCGGCGCCGCGGGGCAGGTCGGAGAGGTCGACGGGCGGGAGCGAGAGCGAGGTCACCGCGGGCGGGAGCGAGTCCAGGAACGCGCGCTGCGTGGCCGACGCCGTGGACGCGAACGTGATGAGCGTCGCCGTGGCCCCGTGTCGCGACGCCAGCCGCTTCGCTAGCTCCGCCAGCGGGATCAGGTGGCCCATCCCGGGCGTCGCTAGCATCGCGACATGCGGCCCCCGGACGGCGCAGGCGGCGTTGCTGCCGTTGCCGTTGCAGCAGCCGGCGGCGGTGGAACCGTTGCTGCTGCTGCCGTTCTCCATTTTTGGGCGGGGGCAGGGGAGCGGTTACTGCGGTGCGGTGCGGCGGCCTTTTCTCCGGGTGGTGTTAAATGGGCAGCGACGCCTGATGTGGGTGGTGGCTGTCTGCGGTGATGGTGGGCTTTGGCCTGCCGGTGCCGGGACGTGTGGTGCGGCCGGCCGGGGTTTATAAGGGAAGGGCCAGGGGAGGCAGCCAATGATGGTTGGCGCGAGTTGTCGTCTGTCGCGGGAGTGGGGGTGTGGGACGGTGAGGTCAGGGAGATGTCATGATGACGCACGCACGCAGGCTCGTGGGAGCCGAGAAAGCGCGAGACCTATGTTGGCTGTTGGGCTGGGCTATATTGGTCATCTCGGTCTACGGACTGTCTTTTTTTTTTCCTGTTTACCACTCGTGTTTTTCTTTTCTATCTCTGGCTTCTATAATCTAGATACAACAATACTCAGCCTGTTTGTTTTATTGGTTTCAGCTAGGCTTATCAGTCAGTCAATAATATTTTCTCTTCATAACAAATCAGCACCGGCTGGGCTTATCAGCCTAGAAACCAACCACCAAACACACCGACTATCAGGAAGTGCCGCAGCCTTAAAAGTCTTCTCTCATACAGGTTAGGTGAACTCTCGAATTTCTGGGAGACGTTTCGATGATCTTCATCGAACATGGGCTTACCGATGTCATTCTTCCATGGGCAAAGATGACGATCTAATCTCTATCTCTATCTCTATCTCTATATAACGAAATCAGAGCCAAGCTCTAACATTTCATTGGGCCACATCACCAAGAAAGCATGATCGCTGCCCCCGCCGATGAACATAACCGACATAACCAGCGAAGTAGCTAGGCGGAGCCGCGGAGCACCGGTGAGGTGAAGACTGGTGAAGCTGCTGCTGTGTTCTTCACGTGCTGCAGCCTCGCTGCCTCGATGAACATAACCGGCCCGCGACGATGAGGAATGTGACTCGTCGCCCGTACGTAAGTGAAGTATGAAAATAGTCGTAGTTCTTCACGTGCTGGTTTCATTTCGACGGTACAAATGTAAGTAAAAATCTACTCCCTCTATTCCAAATTATAAGTCATTCTAAGAATCTTACCAAAACATCTTAAGTTTAAATAAAATTATAAAAAAAATACAAAGATATATGATATCAAATAGATATATTATAAAAATAATTAATGAAGAACCTAATGATACTTAGTTAGTATCGTAAATATTATTATTTTATCATATAAATTGTAGAACATACGACATGAATATTTTCTCTCTACCCTTTCATCTTTCAAATAGTTGCCAGAATCCATTTCACAATTAATGATTAATCTATTTTTTTTGAAGAACCAGCGACAAAAGCATTCTGGGTATGTATTAATAGAGAAGAATCAATTAATTAAATTGATTAAACAGAATATTCATACCGGTTCAGTCTGTAAAATCATGATGAGTTCCTTCATCCTGCATCCCGAGGTAATATTCCACTGGCACGCTCGAGTAATCAAGTAAGGTGCAGCAAAGGCCGCACCGGTTTTTCTAGTCTTTTCGCAACATTAGTTTCTCCTCGTTGCTTTTGTTTTCCTCTCTGGCTCTCCCTTTGAAAATATGTACCAAACCAAACTGGTGTTTGCGCTCTTTGTAAAATTATATGTCATAGTCAATAATCAATAAAGTTCAGGTAGCCGCGTAAGCCGCCGTGGTTTCTGTCAGAAAATATCAGGAGGAGCTAAGTAAGGCCTTGTTTCGAATGCGGGAATTTTTTTCCGGTTCCTAAGTTTTTCATATGAAATTAAACTGATGGTTCCTATAAAATTCCTTAGCAATTTGTGAAATTCTTGCATTCCAAATAGGTCCTAGGTTTTCTGGTTTCATTGACTTTTCTATTCCTTTTGTGATGAGAGCGCAAAATAGCTGCTTGGTACATGATGTAACCTTCTATAAAAATTTTAAGGGACAAGCAGTTTCACGAAACAGGACTTTTTTTTGGTTGGGTGGACTTAATTCGGAGGGATCGACGGACGAAGATGTAATAATGAAAGGAAAATGAAACAAGAGAACTGCTCCAATACTCCTCTCTCTAAAAATTGCACTGACCTTGAAGCAGGCCTTCTGACTAGTTATTTCTTTCTTAATTATTTTTCTCTTGGATCCCGTATGGACCTAGCCCGTCAAAGCCCAACCATAACCCAAAGCCTTCTTTTCCTCATTCACGGGGACGAACGCATATCACACCATGGCGAGAGATAGGAGAGGTTGCGCTGTGTGCTCACCGTCGCGGCGTCGCTCGGAAGCCAAAAAGTGTGGGTGCTCGTTCGTCTGCCCCTGTTCGTCTTCCGTTCGCCCGCCCCGTTCCTCATCCCGACCCAATCTCCCCACCTATGCCCTCTCATGACTCAGGCTCTCGTGATGACCTATGCAAACCAGCATTTGGCTTGGCCTATCTGCAGACCTCACCATCCCCAATTAGAGGTCTCCTCTGTCTCAAATCCGTGCCATGGAGGATCTCGTCGGGGCGTCGCTGACGCATCTCGGCAAACTCGGCGTTCACTCTGCCTCTAATGCGTTGAATAATCCCGTTGGTAGGCCTAGCAGGACTTTGTTACTATAGGATACATACTCTGCCTGTGTTTTCTCTAGTAATATCCCCAGAATTAAATAATAGAAGACAAAACTTATCGAAGTTAGAACTAGAAGACCTTAGCAGCCTCCTCTATGCTCCTATTACCTAGCCTTGATTGTGAAGTTAGGTTAAGTTAGAATTAGTTACTCTCACCTCGTTCCTTTGGGTTCAATATAAATCTAGGTTACTCTCGGTAAAGTGTTACAATGGTATAATATATGTGCGCTTACGGATTATTTTATGTGCATTAATTTATACCATCAATGATGTGCGTGTGTGTGACATTTAATATGTTTCCCAAACAGATTTATGTTTAATAGAGATTTGATCGATGTGTTAGTCGAAAGCAATTTGGCCTTTTCAAATCAACAGATTAGAAAGGAAACAAACTGCTCATGCGTGAAATCGTGACGGATACAGGAAAAGCTTTCCATGAAATCGTGATCTGCACGGCATCGGAAGCAGTTTGGAACCGAGAGACCAACTCGGAGGAGATGGTTGGACGAAAATTTTTATTGTAGAAGGTATAGATATAATATTATTATTCGGTAGCGTGCCCTTGTGTTGGTACGGGATAGCTAATATTTTTTACTAAAAACACACGGATCGCACGATAAGATAACAATATTGTAAAAATTAAATATCAACGTTAAAGTTACAGTTAATCCAAAAAGCAAAGTTTGTGAAATTAACAGTCACGGAGAGCGCGGCGTCACAGGCTTACAAACTCTACTTTATAGACCTTTCCGTAATGCGCCTAAGATAATGTTTTATATCGGTAGGAACAAATCTCCGATATCCATTTCTTTCGTACGCCAATAAATCCACGAATAAGTTCCGCCACATCTCCATACTATATTGTACACAGGCTCGAGTATATATGTCAATATTAGTGCCTGTCATATGGGTAATACTGCGTCTCTTGAAAAATCTTCCATAAAAACTTAAAACAAAGTGTTATAGTCACCGTATAAATATGTGTGGCTTTTGGTCTATTCCACGTAGACATATACTGTAGAATAAGATATTCACTTAAATATCTGTGGTAAGATATATAGAAATAGTTAAATCGTAGGAATTATTATTGCAAACCATAGTGACTTTGCATTAGTTACCCATCTATGTCCTCTGCAACGTTTTCTTCCGTCTGAATTTTCATTCGAAGACATCCTCATTCCATCCAGGAATATGTACATTCACTACGTCCGTGTACTATAAGGTAAATCCAAGAGTGTACTTGACATACATCAGCGGTGGTGTGTTTTTACACCAGTCTTCAATAGGTCTAGGATCAATCATGATAAGCATCTTCTCCTTCTGATCGAAAACATAAAGCATATATTTTCAAACGTGCAGCCATGGCAGAAACTACAAACATTGTAGCATTTAGAATAGTATATAGAAAACAAGTAATAAAAGCAGGAGCAAACGATTTACATATCTGCATTATGCTAAGCTGTATTACATATCCTCACATACACCAATCGCAACAGCCATTTCTTTCTTAGTGTATTTTGTACGGTATTCTGGCATTTTTGGTAAAGCACACATTTTCTAGAAGAGAAGGATATCGAGAGTCAGAATTAGTATAACTTGGCCTACTTTATATAATTAGGAGAACAACAAATAAGACAATATAATATAGCACGATAAGAATTTTAAAAATGTGCATACACAGAATCTCAGGTTCATATGATGCTTCGTAATACTATTGTATTTTTTTATTGTATTGTACTCTCGAGCTGCCTGGAAACGGACACCTAAGTTAAAACAATTCTCAGAGATGTCTCGATTGTTCATTAACAACTCTTGTAGGTCCTACACTTATGGCAATCATGGAGGGATAAAAACCTTTAACCCAAGGCTTCCTACAAAGTATTAGACACATATGATGGTTTTCGTCATATAAGATAGCACACTATTATTAGTAAATAAAGTAATTAAAATAAGCATGTAGCTTACTTCAACGTCGCTTCATCCTGCATTGCCATGACGTAGTCACACAGTAACTCAGTCATCTCTTCCTTGTTCATTGGCATGTCTTTCATGGCCTCAAATGCCCAAAACTCATCGGGGTCTTGGTTAGTATGGACTTGTGGGAATTTATTCTGAGTTTGTATGCGTTGAGGGGTGCCCGTTTGAACCACTAAGCATTCAGCCTCCTCATAATATTTTCTCTTTTTCGTGGACACTTAGATCAACCATCTTTGGATTCTCTATTATGCATAGTCGTTTGGGTTTCCAATATTTTTTGGCCTGGGCATTTTTTAACCGCAAACCGAACCGAACCGCACCGAATTGAACCGAACTGTCGGTTTTTTCGGTTTTCGGTTTGGTTTCTAGTTCAGTGAACTTCGGTGTTCGGCCACGGTTTTGGTTTTTGGGTGCCACCGAAC